TGTGCCCCTAATGTGAGACCTGGCACTATTTTTCAAATTAAAGTATATTTTTCTGGACATTTTAGTCATCTAGAAGAGTGCTATTTTTTTTCTTTTTTTTCTGTTTTTTTTTTATTTTTTGACATCAGTTATTTTTATTTTAAAGAAAAAAAATAAAAACAATGGTACAAAATCTCAAAACAAGATTTTAGGAGAGTAACAATGGTTAGTACTTTGTGTATTGCTACTGCCAAAGTAGTTTCTCATATAAGTTCAGCACTTTGGAGGCTGAGGCAGGAGGATCACCATGAGTTCAAGGTCAGGTTGGGATACACAGTGAGTTCAAAGCCAATCTGAACTACAGAGAGACCTTGTCTCAAAAAAAAAAAAAAAAAAAAAAATCAGCGACTAGGCATGGTGCTTTATGCATATTAGCAGTGAGGAGCTGAGGTAGGAGAATCTCATGCTCAAGCCCAGCCTGGGATAGATAACAAGACTCTGGCTCAAAAAACACAGGTGTGGGGCCAGGGAGTTAGCTCAGTAGAATAAGTGTTCGCCTGGCAAGCTCAAGGGCCTGAGTTCAATCCCTGGTTCTGCCAAAAAAAAAAAGATGACCAGTTGGTATTAATTTGGAAATGTTTGCCCAGGGTACCAAAAGTTGCCTCTTAGGTACCCCTGTACACCTATACCTCCTTGATGCTGCCTAGAGATATAAAGGGTCAGGAGAGAATTCCTTGCCCTCAATGAATCCTAGATGTGGTAGAATGCTTGTCAGTCTTTGTTTTGTTTTGTTTTGTTTTGTTTCCTTGTCAGTTTTGTTACTAAAGCAGGATTTAAGCAACTTCTGTTCTAGTTCCTGCAATACGTAATGCTACCACCAGATGGTACTGGTGCTTGGTAAAGATGGGTACACAGGCCCTCAGCAGCGTCTAGAAAAGAGCATGTTGTAAAATGGAAGCCAGTTTTGTTCCTAGGGTGGGGGACATGCACATCCATGCCTGCACACAAAAGTCGCCAGCAGCGTTGTTGAGAACACCCCAGACTGGAAGGAGTCAAGCGTAGATGCCCACGTGATGGGCTGTTTGCACTGCTTTGCAGCAAAAAGGAAATGTCCAGCCACATGCAACATTCTTTCAGAGATAGCGCGAGTGAGTGATGCTAATGTGTGAAATACCTCAGTGTCACCAGGAAGCGGTGCACTTCAGAGGGAGGCGTGGACTGGACAGAAAGCGCTGGCTGTGGCTGGCCTGAGTGCCGGTCACACGGGCACTCGCCTTCTCACACCAGGTCCTCCTGTGTGCCAGTGCTTTTGTATGCTGGGCTCCTGGCGCGACCCGGTGACAGCCCTCGGGCAGGAAACAGGTGACACGTGGACTACAGTGAGCGTGCGAACTAGAATCCTAATCCCGTTGCTCAGCTCTGTCTGCTGTCTCACTGTGGAAGAAGCTGAGTTGCTTGCTCCATCACTGCCTGCTGGCCCCCGAGCCCTCTGTAGTGATGCTCACTTAGGCTCTGTGGTCGCCCATTATTTTATTTTAAAAAGATTGCCCAGCTGTGTGCTGCCTTCAGCAGCTGCAGAGACAGATTCCTTTTCTCTGTGGCTCAAGGCACAAGCAGGATGTGTGTGTGTCTGTGTCTGTCTGTGTATGTGTGCAATTATTGAGCGTTATTTATGAGAATATGGCCAGCGATGCTGTTGTGCACCTGTAATCCTGGCACTCTGGGAGGCTGAGATAATATTGGCTGTGTGGGCCCAGCCTGGGTAATTTAACAATTCGGTGAGACTCTGCCTCAAAAACAGACTAGAGGGGCCGGGGAGATGGCTCAGTGGAATAAGCGCTTCCCTAGCAAGTGCAAGGGCCTGAGTTCAATCCCCAGTTCCTAAAAAAAAAAAAAAAAACCAGACTAGAAAGGCATGATGGTGCATGGCTGTAATCCTAGCACTCAGGAGGATGGGGCAGGAGGGTTGCTGTTAGTTCAAGGCCAGCCTTAACTGCATAGTGAAACCCTGTCTCAAAAATAGACAAGGAAAGGGGCTGGGGAGATGGCTCAGTGGTCTAAAGCACCTACTTAGAATAAGCTTAGCAAAGCACAGGAACCGAGGTTCAATCCCCCAGCACCACACGCCAGCCAGCCCGCCCCCTGGTGGGCTGAGCTGGCCAC